CTAGTGCTTTTTAAACTTTTCTACCAAAGTATTCCAATAGCAGAGGAGGGATGACTTACACCTGAGGGACAGAGCCAAGAAAGTCACAATGAAAACACAAAATTTCTTTGAAGTTTCCTATTTCATCCTAAAAATTCATGTGGTCATTGAACTCTATTCTGTAACATGTCTGCATTTGTTGCTGGGTACTTAGCGTGTGCCAAGGGTTTTCTATGTATTTCATTTAATCCCCAGACAACCTTAGGAGGTTATTATACCAATTTTAGAGATGAGGTATAACAATAAGCTCCTTGAGAACAAGGATCTTCTTACTTTGTTCTCTAATATATCTCCTATGCCTAGTGCAGAGCCCAGAATTTAAAATTGTCTGTTGAAATTAAGGGCATTTATACAATGCCAACAGCCAACATCATCCTAAATGGATAGAGATTGAAAGCATTCCCCTTGAGAATGGGAACCAGACAAGGATGCCCTTTATCACCACTCTTATTCAACATTCTGCTGGAGGCCCTAGCCAGAGCAATTAGGCTAGAAAAAGGAAGAGAGGGCATCCAAATTGGTAGGCAAGAAGTAAAAGTATATCTATTTGCAGATGATATGATCTTATCCACAGAAAACCCCAAAGAATCCACAAGAAAACTAATGGAACTAATAGAAGATTTCAGTACAGTATCAGGATACAAGATAAAGATACAAAAATCAGTTGGATTCCTCCACACCAACAAAGAGAACTTCCAAGAGGAGATCACCAAATCAATATCATTTACAATAGCCCCCAAGAAGATAAAATACTTAGGAATAAATCTAACCAGAGACATAAACACCTATACAATGAAAACTACAAGACACTACTGCAAGAAACCAAGTGAGACTTGCGTAAGTGGAAAAACATACCTTGCTCATGGACAGAAGACTCAACATTGTGAAAATGTCTCTTCTACCCAAAGCGATCTACAGATACAATGCAATCCCGATCCAAATTCCAACGGCATTTTTTAATGAGATGGAGAAACAAATCACCAACTTCATATGGAAAGGGAAGATGCCCTAGATAAGTAAAGCATTACTCAAGAAGAAGAACAAAGTGGGAGGTCTCACACTACCTGAATTTAGAACCTATTATACTGCCACGGTAGCAGAACAGCCTGGGACTGGTACAACAACAAATACATAGATGAATGGAACAGAATTGAGAATCCAGGTGTAAATTCATCCACCTATGAGCAGCTGATATCTGACAAAGGCCCAAAGTCCATTAATTGGGGAAAAGACAGTCTCTTCAACAAATGGTGCTGGCACAACTGAATATCCATCTCCAAAAAACTGAAACGAGACCCATACCTCACACCATGCACGAAAACTAACTCAAAATGGATCAAAGACCTAAATATAAAATCTAAAACGATAACGATCATGGAAGAAAAAATAGGGACAACGCTAGGAGCCCTAATACATGGCATTGACAGAATACAAACCATAAGGAACAATGCACAAACAGCAGAAAAGAAACTAGATAACTGGGAGCTCCTAAAAATCAAACACTTATGCTCATCAAAAGACTTCACCAGAAGAGTCAGACTGGGAAAAAAATTTTCGCTACGACAAATCCGATCAGCATCTAATCTCTAAAATCTACAACATACTGCAAAACTTCAACAACAAAAAGACAAATAACCCAATTAAAAATTGGGCAAAGGATATGAACAGGCACTTTACCAAAGAAGACATTCAGGCAGCTAACAGACACATGAAGAAATGCTCATGATCATTAACCATTAGAGAAATGCAAATCAAAACTACAATGAGATATCATTTCACCCCAACAAGGCTAGAATTAATCAAAAAAATACAAAATAATAAATGTTGGAGAGGTTGTGGAGAGACTGGAACACTTATACACTGTTGGTGGGAATGTAAAATGGTACAACCACTTTGGAAATTGATTTGGTGCTTCCTTAAAAAGCTAGAAATAGAAGTACCATGTGATCCAGCAATCCCATTTCTTGGAATATATCCTAGAGAAATAAGAGCCATCACATGGATAGATATATGCACACTCATGTTCATTGCAGCACTGTTCATGAGAGGAAAAAGATGGAAACAACCTAGGCGTCCATCAGCAGACGAATGGGTAAACAAATTATGGTATATTCACACAATGGAATACTACACAATGATAAAGAATAATGATGAATCCATGAAACATAACATGGAGGAATCTGGAAGGCATTGTGCTGAGTAAATTTAGTCAGTCGCAAAAGGACAAATATTGTATAAGACCACTATTACATGAACTCAAGAAAAGGTTTAAACACTGAAGAAAACATTCTTTGATGGTTACGAGGGTGGGGAGAGAGGAAGAGAGGTATTCACTAGCTAGACAGTAGACAAGAATTATCTTAGGTGAAGGGAAGGACAACACACACTAAAGGGGAAGTCAGCACAACTGGACTAAACCAAAGCTAAGAAGTTTCCTGAATACAACCAAACACTCTGAAGTACAGAGTAGCTGGGGCGGGGGTCTGGGGACCATGGTTCAGGGGACATCTAGGCCAACTGGCATAACAAAGTTTATTAAGAAAATGCTCTGCATCCTACTTTGGTCAGTGGCATCTGGGGTCTTAAAAGCTAGTGAGTGGCCATCGAAGATCCATCAACTGGTCCCAGCCCACCTGGAACAAAGGGGAATGAAGAACACCAAAGACACAAGGTAAGTATTAGCCCAAGAGACAGAAAAGGTCACATAAACTACAGACTTCATCAGCCTAAGACCAGAAGAACTAGATGGTGCCTGGCTACCACCAATGACTGCCCTGACAGGGAACACAACAGAGAGACCCTGATGGAGCAGGAGAAAAGTGGGGTGCAGAACTCCAATTCTAGTAAAAAGATCAGACTTAATGGGTTGATTGAGACTGGAGGGATCCCGGAAGACATGGCCTCCAGACTCTCTGTTAGCCCAAAACTAAAACCATTCCCAAAGCCAACTCTTTAGACAAAGATTAGACTATGGGACATAAAATGATACTCGTGAAGAGTGTGCTTCTTAGCTCAAGTAGATACTTGAGTAAAGGGTAGTCCTGTCCAGAGGTGAGATGAGAAGGCAGAGAGGGTCAGGAGCTGGTTGACTGGACATGGGAAATCCAGGGTAGAAAGCAGGAGTGTGCTGTCACAGTATAGGGAGATCAACTAGTGTCTCATAACAATGTACATATAAATTTCTGTATGAGAGACTAACTTGAATTGTAAACTTTCACTTACACAACAATAAAAAAAAAAAGTTGAATAATGAGGAAACCAAAGCTCAGAGATGTTACGTAATTTGTTCACAGTGTACAGCTAGTAAGCAGAGGAAACTAGACTTGAATCCACGTCTGTCTGATTGCAGATCTTAAAGTTTTTGCTCTACTGCTTCTCTGTCTCCAATTTCCCGCTCAGAATGTGGTAACTGAGAAGGCACACAGTATTGAATGAATGAATGTGTTCCACCTGCAGGCTGCTTATCTGCTTTACCCTAGCATACCCTTGGTCCTTCATTTCTCTATCTTAATTTTTAATTTCTAGGCCTAGGACTTAAGCCATTGTGGGCATGGATGGACCTAGCTTTCATTCCACCTCCCTTCCTATCAGTAAACATAGCCACTACATATAGAAAGAAAATATTAATTATTAGGAAAACACATGTAAATTGCTACAGAGGCAATTACATTAATGGTTTGTTATTTCTATTACACAAACATAGTGTCAAATAGGTCTAAAACACAAAATGGAAAGTTGATGGTCATAAATTTACAAAATCTATCTGAAATGCCCTAATTTTTTTTTTTTTTTTTTTTTTTTTGTGGCTGTGAGTTTTCTTTCTTAATAAAGGCAAACAAGGGATTTACAAAAACTGAAGTCTTCACACAAATCAGTGTATTTCATTTTTTACACTGTCCCAATAAATCTTCTAAACAAAGGCACAAATTACATAGTGACATCATTTCAAGTTACAATAATCAGGAAAATGATGATGTCTCTTCCTGCAGCATCTACTTTAGTACATCTGCTTTCAGCTGGCATGTAGAAAAGCAAGACACGATAATGTGGTTTTGGAATTTATTTCAAAAACCAGATTCCAGTTACATATTATTGTATAGTTTGAGTTTAAAAAGCTACAGAAACATTTACTCTCTATATAAGCACAACATAGTCCGACACAAGGCTTCTAACACTCCTGAAACGTGTGCTTATTTATTTTTGTGTATTAGTCTATTAAAATAATGGTGACAAAAGTCAGACAAACCTAGCTTATAATCCTGGTTCTGCCTCTTAATAACTGTGTAACCTTGGGGCAAATTATTTAATCTCTTTCTGAGCTCCTTTCCCATAAAATGTGGATAATAACCCCTAATTTGTAGAACTGTTGGGAAGATAAGAGAAAATATTTGTGTAGTAATGAGCATCGTACCAGGCACATGGGTGACACTCAATAAACAATAGCTATCTCTATTTAAAGGCTGCTACTTTATTTCACTCTGGCTTCATCATGCGAGGCACTTAAATCATCACTTCCAACAACAAAGTTTCCTGTGTTTGCTTCCTTCAACATAAATAAACCTCCCACCTCAATAAACTTATTCAAATATATTAGAAAAAAATATTTAAGAAATTTTCAGTTCTGTCTTTTCTAGACCATAACGTCATGAAAAGACTCTGTATGTGTGCAATGTTTCTGGGTTTTGTTTTCCTTATATGAGTGATGCTGCACCTGTATTACTGAATTCCAACAGGCAGCTGGATCTGGATGTTGGCTGTCCAGTAACATTTCTGTTACCTATACCTGGTTCCTGTAGGCACCTGTATTTGCAACCTCTGTTTTAAATGCTGAACTTTCCTAGGGCATCTACCATTTCATTTTCAAACGCTGTATGTGCATATATAATTTACTAAAAAAGAAAAATCACAAGGCAGGCAAGTATTGTTAAATAATCAAATGTATGATAATTTAAAAAAATTACCTGATGGAATACAGGCTCTTTTACCTTAAGGTAAACCTGCAAAGTATTAAAAGAAACACATGTGAACAAAGTGCATTACAGGAAAAAAACTTTTCCAATTACTCTGCAAATCCCAAACCTCTCCTGTTTCCCTCATCCTACTACTTACTTCTGACTCCAGCCATGTAAAACCAATCAGATTAGATGGCACGCCATGGAAAGGTTAGTACCTACAGGTGGGTCTACCTCCCAGGTCTAGCTCTGCCATGGTAAACTAAACATTTCAAAGCTGTGTGGACTATTCTGGCCTCTTCAGCAGCACCAAGGAGGAGCAAGGAAGCACGAATATGTTGATAATCCCTGTAGCAGCTTTTTCTACAGTAGAAAGAACACTAAACTTAAGAGTTAGAAACGAGAGTTAAATTTCAAATTCTCCCATTTACTTGCTAAATGCCATAAGCAAGTTATTTAACCAAAGACTCATTTTTTGTCTTCTGGACAATGGGCATAATAGTGGTAAGGAATGATAAGCTAAAATATGTGAAAGTGTCTAGCACATAGTAGATGCTCAACAAGTGAACCCAGTTAAAACAAGTTTCATATGCTCTCGTCTGGTTCCAAATACCTCTCACTCACTCACTTAGATGCATTTCCAGTTCTGCAAACCCTAGTTTTAGGCTCCAGTGTCATTGGGTGATTAAGCTAAATGCCTGTTTGAGACTGAACATGCATTTATTGCCCTGTAAAACCAAACCCATTGCCATCGAGTCGATTCTGACTCAGAGTGACCCTATAGGGGACACATTTTTTAAATGACATGGTACAGAGGAGGCAAAATTCAAATCATGACCCTGAAACGACTCCCATCACTTGAAAGATGAAGTTCAAACTTCTTAGCCTGGCCTTCCGTGATCTGGCCCCTGCCTTTGGTTTGGCTTCACTGCTCTCCTCTTGTCTCTTTCTCATCCTAGGTTCCAGAAAGTACTGTACTTCCCCAAATGTGCTAGTTTCAAGCTTCTGTGTCTTTAAACATGCTGCTCTCTACTTTCTCCAGAAATGTGCCCCCCGCCGCGCCCCCAGCAAACACTCATCTTTCAAGATTCAGCTCAAACTATAACTCCTTTTTGAAGCCTTTTTTCTATATAAACTTGCCTTGCCAGGCAAGTCACTGAAACTATCTGGACTTTATTCTCTTCTTGTACACAGTAACAAGATTCCTTTTGATCTCTGAAATTCTAGAATTTTTTCATGATTAATGAGTATGTAGTTTATGCAGGGCAATGTAGAGGCCTAAAAAAATAGTGTATATGTGCTCTTTCAACCTCCTGTTCACCCTCTCAACTCACTTCAATTTAGCTCCTGTCTCCAGCAAGCTGCTCCTGACAGGATCTTCATTAAGATTACCAGGTCTTTTAAATGGAAATTCTATGGGTCAAAACTTAATCTTAATTTTATTTATCCTCTCAGAGGCAATCAATACTGTTACTTACTCATCACTTCTAGAAATCTCTTTGTATTCTGTGATATCAGGCTCTCCTAGCTTTCCTATTACTTGTTCTCAGTCTCCTTTGCTGGCTCCACTTCTTCCACCTGACCCTCAAATGTCAGGGTTGTATATTTAGTCATCTTAACAGTCAACACTATCTCTGTTCAAGTTCATCAAGCCCCACATTTCTAGTACTGCCTGTACCCTGACAACTTCCAAATCTACATCTTCAGCCCACTTGCCTGTTAAGACTCATGTTATTAATGACAGGCACCTCAATCTCAACACGTTCCAAACTGAACTCATCTACCTTTACCCCATGGTACAAACCTACTCGTCTGTCTTGCAAAATCTACCCTTCCTAACTAGCACAACTTGTACAAGGAAAGGTCATGGAAGCCCCACAGACACATCCAAATTCCCTGAGGGATTGAATTGCTGGGCGGAGGGCTGTGGGGACCATGGTCTGGGGGAACATCTAGCTCAACTGGCATGACACAGCTTATAAAGACAATGCTCTACATTCTACCTTGGTGAGTAGTGTCTGGGGTCTTAAAAGCCTGTGAGAGGCCATCTAAGATACTCCACTGTATCATCCCTTTGGGAGCAAGGGAGAATGAAGAGAACAGGATACAAGGAAAAGATTAGTCTGAAGGACTAATGGTCCACAGCCACCAAGGCCTCCACCGGACTGAGTCCAGTACAGCTAGATGGTGCCCAGCTACCACCACTGACTGCTCTGACCAGGATCACAACAGAGGGTTCTGGACAGAGCTGGAGAAGGACGTAGAGAATAATTCTAACTCACAAAAAAAAAGACCAGATTTACTGGCCTAAAGGAGACTGGAGAAACCCCGAGACTATGGCCCCCAGATACCCTTTTAGCTCAGTGGTGAAGTTATCTCCAAGGTTCACAGTTCAGCCTGGGAGTGGACAGCCCTGTAAAACCAAATGAGACTAACGAGATACAGTAGTCTAGTGACAAGGGCCAGAAGGCAAAAGGGGACAAGGAAGCTGGTGATAGGGAGCCCAAGGTTGAGTAAGGATATTGTTGATGTGTTGTGAGACTGTTAACCATTGTCATAGGGCAACATTTGTTGTAATTGTTAATTGGAAACTATTTTGTTCTGTAAGCCTTCATCTTAAGTGAGAATAACAGCACAATTGGAAGAGTGTAGTCAATGTCACTGAACTGTGCATGTAGAAATTTTTGAAATGGTGTATCTTTGGCTATGTGTATTTTCACCAAAAAAAAAAAAAGGTTGAGAAGTTAGAGGGTTAACATGTTGTGGGGTTGTTAACCAATGTCATAAAACAATATGTGTACTACTGTTTCATGAGAAACTATTTGTTCAGTAAGCCTTTACCTGAAGTACAATAAATAAAAAAAAAAATCTGCCCTTCCTCAAGTTTCCTATGTTGGTTAAGGACATTATACGTATCCTGATAGCCAGGCCATAAACTGAGGGTTTGTTCTAGACAACTCTCTATTTTCACTCCACTTCCATCCATCTCCACTCTAGTTGGTCACAGATCCTGTTAATTATGATAGCTTCTTTTCATACCTATGGCTATTTTACATTAGTCTTTAAGTCTCATATCTTGCCTAAGTAAATGCAAAAGTCCCTCGGTTTAGACACTGGTATCCCTGGGTCTAGCCTCATACCCCTCTAATCTATCCTTCATAGCCAGAGTAATCTTTCAAAAATATATGTCCGGTTATGTTTTTCTGGTACTTTAAACCAGTTAATGGCTCCACACTAACTTCAGGATAAAAATCCAAATTCTTAAACATGCATACAAAGGTCTTTATAATTTGACATTTGTCTAATTAACTAGACTCATGTCTCCCCCACTTACCATGTGCTCAAGCCTATACCATCCTTTCCTAAATTGTTCCCAATTCCACTGGCAGAGATGATGTAATGAGACCATAAATGTAGAAGTACTCAGTACAACATCTGACACACAGTAAGCACTTAAAAACGGTAGTTCACTATGTTGTTCCATGGTTCTATGTCCATGGACATGCAATAGTCTCTACTTAGAAATGTTTTACCACAGTCCTAGTCATTAGTTAAAACTCAGTTCAATGTCTCCTCTCTGAAGCTTTCCTTTACCCACTCAAGCAGTCTTGATGGATCCTCCTTTATTTCATCACTGTATAACTAGTTTTTACTTCTATTAAGGCAATTATCATCCCTTGCTGTTAATTCTTTGTCAACATGTCTGACTTCCCAACTCAAATGAACCCCTCAAGGATAGTAACTGCGTCTTCATCATCTTTGTATTTCTTGTGCCCGACATGGTAGGTTTTCAATAAATGCTGCATTAAATTGAAATGAACATTCTCTTAATACAAAATGAAAGTCACCTAAGGGAAAAAAAGCACTGAAGTAGGGTCAGAAGTGACTAGCTATCTCAACTTATTAGGAAAAGGTTAACTATTAAAACAGTCACACTATGCCTAAAAGAGCAGAGTCAATCTCTTGTTTTTAACAAATAGGAGGTAATATGTTCATCCACGATGAAAGATTAACATTTTTTCCCATCGCTACTATTTACTTTTTTGACTTTTCCCTTTTTAAAAAATAAACAGATTTAAAAAGTTATTCCAATTACAATGAGAAATGACACTTGAACAGGAAACAAAGGAGCAATATCCATAAGTGAGATATTCCAGTTTTGTGAAAAGACATTTCAGTCTGAACAGCATGAAGACAACACTGGAAAAAAAAGTTCCAAACTCCATAAACGGCTAGTTCACATGCTTAATCTGGTAGAAACAAAATATGACTTACTAGGGTTACTATTAAACTGAACAGAACTAATATAAAAAGCAGATGGTAGTTTACTGAATTCTTCGTCTTGAAACATTCAAACCTTAAAAAAAAAGAAAAACTTGTTTTAGAATATATAATGAGGAAAACAAATATAATGTTGCTTTACCATTTGCATACATATCTCTGTGATCCAGTAATGTCCATCATTTCTTTCCACCTGCACTCTCATCTTAGAGAACCTGCACTGCCTTCAGCCTGCAAGAGGCTGAATGGACCAGGAATAGACATCTGATTTAAGCTGGGCCAATGAGAGGCGGTGGCCTGAAAATCTGAAGTTTGGGGCCCAGAAACTGAATTAATTATGTATGGGAGTCAAAGTATGAAGTCATACAGACTCAAGATCTGAGGCTAATATTTGCAGGTAGCTATAATGAACAAGAGGAGAGCCCTGGTGGCATAGTGGTTTAGCACTTGGCTGCTAACCAAAAAGTTGGAAGTTCAAACCCACCAGCTGGTCCACAGAAGAAAGATGTGGCAGTCTGCTTCTGTAAAGATTACAGCTTTGGAAATCCTATGGGGCAGTTCTACTCTGTCCTATAGTGTTACTATGAGTCGGAACTGACTCAATGGCAACAGGTTTTTATAATGAACAAGTGAAAATCGAGGAAAGAGTGGTGGGGGGAGAAGCTGCCTTTCTAGTTCTAGTAAAGTGAGGCTATACTTCCCACTATTATGTTCCATAAGATTTCCCTAACATCCTTACAATAATTAAATCTCTCAACTCAAACTGGCTTGAGTAGGTTTCTATATCTTGCAACCAATGGTCCCTGGCTAAGGCACACTATTATAGAAAACATGACTCTATTATAATTACTTCTTTAGTTATCTTCCCCCCCACAACGAGACTACGAATTCCTTGTAAGTAGGGATAAAATCTTAATTTTTTCATATACTTAATCACGAGGATAGTGCCTGACACATAGAGACAGTCAGTAAATAAGGAAATATGAATATCTGATTATCAGTAACTATCCAACCTTTGAGGACTATGTCTTGGTACAGGACAGTTCTCTCAGTTTACTAACTGGGTGTTGGAATTAGGCACAACTCCTATTTCATCATCTGTAAAGAGAGGTGGTGGAAACAGGTGATCTCTTTTACCCTTAAATTCTGTCACTTTATGACTTGAAAGATGATGAAAAATTAGGTGGGATATTTGTTTTTACATTTAAATTCTATAACTTTACGGACTGAATAGTGATGAGAAAGTTAGATGGATATGTGTGGGTTATGTACTCTTCATTCTATCAATCATTTACAAATTTCTGTTTAGTACTTCAAATCTCCTCAAAACATGCTATCTGTTAAGAAATCAGTGGTCTATAGGAGGCCAGGTTTGTATTTATTATAATAGTTATTTCACTATATTATATATAGCCACTTTCTTATCTGTCTTCCTTTCTTATGAGTTCCTTGACTCTTTGTATTTATAGAACCTAGTATCATGCCTAATACAAAGGAGGCTTTCCAGTACATGTTTCCAAACACAACCACATAGAAGGAAAGGCAGGTTTAAAAATGGTTAGAGGTCTAGATTGCTTTGCATATTTGATATGTATTCTGTGTGTATTCCATCTATACAGATTTCATTCAGGATTCTAGGAAATAGACAGGTTCCTTCTGTCTGACAGTAGGTGTTTGGGCAATGAACAGATCCTCCCATTTTCTCTCAATACTGGCTTTCAGAGTTCCAGAAGGGCAACAGATTGACTAGCACATAGGCCCCTGCATCAGGGTTGTATCAAAATACTACTATTATTGTTAGTAACAAAAGCTAACAACTAACATTTTCTAGGTCTTCATAATTAGGTCAGATGCTTTATACATATTTATCTATAACATATAATGCAACACTTGAAAGTAGGTTTATGATGTCCTTCGATGTAGCAAGTGGTTAAGCTCTTGGTTCCTAACTGAAAGGTAAGGTTGGAGGTTCAAGTCCACCCAGAAGCACATTGGAAAGCCTGGAGATCTACTTCAGAAAAATCTGCCATTGAAAACTCAACAGAGCACAGCTCTACTATGACACACATGGGGTCACCATGAGTCGGAATCAAATTGACGGCAGCTAGTTTGGTTTTACAGATTAAAAAAAATCTCAAGATTTGAACCCAGAGCTATTTGACTTCAAACAGAAGAGTATTCTCACTATGGCAAGCTGCTTCATTTTCTCCTAGTTTCTAGCCCCTTCAAAGTACATGAGATTGGGCAGAAGCCTAGCCTTCACCTACTACCACAACTGGTCAATTTTGTGTCTCTATTTAGGCAGTACATACGCTCCCTAAAAACCACACATAAAGAATCAAGAGAAAAACTATTACAACTAATAAATGAAGTTAGCAGGGTCATAGGATAAAACTCAATATACAAAAATCAATAGTATTTTGAAATGCTAGCAATGGACAACTAGAAAAAACAAAAACTTAAAAGCAACACTATTTAAAATAGCACCCAAAATCATGAAAACCTTAGGGACAAATTTAACAAAGTATGTGCAAGATAACCTCAAAATCACTGAAAGAAATTAAAGAAAATCTAGATAAATGGAGAAATATACCAAATTCATGGACTGGAAGACTTAATATTGTGAAGAGATCAATTGTCTCATACAAATCTTAGCAGCTAAATGGGCATTCTTTCTTCTGTTGTTTTTGGATAAAAATCAATCTTAGTAAAGGTAAGAGCCAACAGTGGCATGGTTTCTTACAGCCCACTAAAAAAACAAACAAAAAAACTTTCCATTACTTTAGTGTATACTACTAACTTTTGGGAGCAGTGTTATAAGACAGATATGAACTGGTTCAAATTATGGCTCTACCATTTATAAGCCTGGTTACTAAGGCCAGACTCAGACATGTGGGTTCCCAACACAAGCTAGTAATTTGTTGCCCTTCCAGATGCAAATTCTTTACATATTTTTTCAACATTTAAAGTGACTGAAAGCATACTTTCATGGGGATGTGTGGAGGCTCTCCTCTAATATCTCCAACAACTTAGGTGGAGCCCAGACTAGCATACCCTACTCAAAAGTCCTCACCCACCCCGCTTAGAAGGCATATTTAATGATCATCTGTTGGTATTTGATCACACTCTACAGGGAGGGTTCCACTTTGCCATTTCTACCACATCCCAAGCAGCCTATCAAAGGATTTTTCCAAATTCTCCTTGAGAAGACTTCTGACAATTGTAATGTTCTCCATTGTGATGTATTTACAGGGATATTTTAGTGCCGTCTAGAAACTGGTTACCTGGACAATGGCCTAGCTTCTTAACCAAGCTCTGCTTATGTCCTTAGACAAGTTACTAAATCTCTCTGTGGTTCATTTCCTCGTCTATAAATTGGGGACAATACCTACTTATCACATACATTTTGAGAATTAGAGATGCTGTACTAAGCTGTCTAGCACAGACCCAGGTACAAACTAGATAAATAAACATCAGCATTTATTAATGTTCTTATTATAATCACTTGTTTTTCCCTGTCATTCAGGAAATGCAAACTAATTTGATATTGAAGTGAATAAAATATGATCCAGGAAGGGAACTTTGAATTGGTAATGGCTGGTGAGCTGTCTGTGAATAATCAATCAGCTTGAATATACTCTTGACAGCATTTACTCTGATTTAGAATAAGGAGAATTTAAAGGACACAGGTATCTATTATTTAACAGCTATGAGCATGCAATGAGAGATTAAAAGGACACAATCACTTCACAACTAGTAGTAGTCTACTTCACTTTTCAGGTAAGCTTCTGGTAAGAAACTATACTGTAGTATACAGAAACTATATCTAAAATTTTTATGGCATAATATAAAAAATCTTGAAGTTTGTACACATTTCATCACTCAAGAAGAGATAAATTACACAATTTAACTCATATTAAGTCAGATTCTATCAAAATTGGTTACAGGATTTTGAGATCACAGAAGTTAATAAACAACATTGTAACTTTTAGAGATTATACTCACTTTGAGATCACAAAAGTTACAATCTTCTAATTATTACAATCTCCCAGTAAAAAACTGAAATAGTTATATTACTTAATTCACTAGGAGGTAAATATAAATTTTAAGATATATCAAATCACTGAATTTTAAACATTAAGTACTTACATGCAGTACACAAATATACAACAGCTGTAAATCATTGGGAGTTCATCCAGTAGCTATAAGAAATAAAGACAGATAATAGGACTTGAAAATCATAGAGCTGCAATCATTATGCAAATCAAAATGAAACAGCAGAATGATGAAGACTGTCTATTCTAATTATCTCCTTACTAATTACTTTATATATTTATCATCATCTAATTTACTCTGTGTATATTTATTGGTTTTGAACAAACACAATCTTATCCATCCATCCATCTGTCTTATGTACACACCTAAGTAGCATGCCTGACTCACTATTCCTGGAGGACAGTCTTGCAATCATGCTGTGCTAGCATCATTCTGTACCACAAACTATAATATTAGTACCTCTAGGAAATAATGATGTCCACCATCTACAGGTCTGTGGGTCCTATCAGAATTCACGGGCATTTCCCTTCTTCCTTGAACACCTTAGGTGGATAAAATATCCACTAACACACATAAGAAGAGATATCACAGCAGAGGAAATAATTTAGTTAATTAAGGTAACCTGTATCTCTCAAAAATAACATTCATCATTATTATTGTTGCTATCATATATTAAACTGCAAGCTAGGCACTATGCTAGATGTTGTAGGTAAGTTATTTCTAATCTTTAAACCAATACACAAGTTTACTTATTCACTATATACACATTTAATTGACCCCATAATTATATGTCTACTATGTGTCAGGCAATGTGTTAGGAGCTGAGCATACCATGAATAACAAGAAACAGTCATGTCACTGCCCTCAAGGAGTTTACATTCTAATTGGGGGTGAACACAAATAAGATAATTTCAAATGGCAGTAAGTGCTATGAAAACCATGAAATAAAATAACAGTAATTTGTGGGAGAGACTGCTTTAGATAAACTGGTCAGGAAAGGCATCTCTGAGTAGGTAACATTTGAACTAAGGAGTTAGAAGAAACCAGATGTGCAAAGATCTCAGAGAAAACTGCTGCAGGCAGAAAGAGCAAAAAGCAATTCCACCCCTAGGTATATACTCAAGACAAATGAAATCATACATTCACACAAAAACTTGTACATATCCATAGTGGCATTATTCATAATAGCCAAAATGTGGAAACAACCCAAATACCCATCAACTGAAAAATGAATAAACAAAATGTGGCATATCCATACAATAAAATATTATTTGGCTGTAAAAAGGAATGAAGTACTTCATGCTACAACATGGAAGAACCTTGAAAACATTATGCTAAGTGAAAAACACCAGATACAAAAGGTATGATTTCATTGCGTGATTCCATTTATATAAAATGTCCAGAACAGGGAAATTTGTAGAGACAGGAAGTAGATCAGTGGTTGTTAGGTGCTGGGGGTGGGGATAACAAGGAGTGACTGATAATGGATATGGGGTTCTTCTTTAGGGTGATAAAAGTGTTCTGGAATTAGATAGTAGTGATAGTTGTTCAATTTTGTGAGTATACTTTAAACTACTGAATTATACTTTAAAAGGGTAAATTTTACAGTATGCAAATTATATTTCAAGGAAAAAGAAAGATATTCACCTACATATTCACAATACAACCAGCAAAATCAGGAAATTAACACTGATTTATTACTACCATGTAGTCCTCAGACCTCATTCAAGTTTTGTGAAGTATTCCAATAATATCATAAATAAAAATATAAACACACATAGGATCCAGTCTAGAATCACACACTGTATTTAACTGTCATGTCTTTTTAGTCTTCTTCAATCCAGAATAGTTCTTCAGATAAACTCTGACTATTGTGGTCATGACACTTTTGAAGATAACCAGCCAGTTGTTTTGTAGGATGTCCCTCAATTTGGTTTTGCCTGATGTTTCCATTAGATTCAGATTACGCATCTTTGGCAAAAATATCAAAGAAATGATGCTATGTTCTTATTACCAGATTCTATCACATGATACACAATTTTCGTTTGTCCCGTTACTGATGATATTCATTTTGATGGCCTGATTAAGGTCTGCTAGGCTTCTCCAGCGAAAAATTACTCTTTTTTCCTTTATAATTATTTTATGGGGAGGTACATTGAGATTATGTACAGTATCCTGAGATCAAACTTATAATTTGTCATATATATGTATACATTTATATACATATATGATTTCCTATTTTATTCAATGGGTTATATTAAAACTGTTATAATCCGTTTCCATCATTATTTATTTTGACACTCAAGTGTCCCAGATTTGGCCAATAAGAACCCCTTTGAGTTAGCTTCAATGTCCTTCTGACATCCCCAACATTCTTTGAGCATTTTCATTCTTCCTGGCACAAAAAGTTGTTCAAGGCTCATACTGTCTTTTCCTTGCCCCAGTTCTCGGAATCACCCCTGGTTCCTTTTAATGAAGAATGATTTTTAGAAACAAATATTTGGATGCTAGATATTGGGGTTCTCTGCTCCCAGGTCTTCTCATGGACAGAACTAGAGAATATATGCATATACGTATGTATAGAAATATGTATGTATATATAAATATACATGCATGCATATCACATATACCTTTACATTTAAATTTATTTCTATATGTATCTACATATATTAAAAACATGAGTTCACACTGATATCTCCAATTTCAATTCATCACCACAGGGTTCATTCTAGTTTTCATCTTTTCCATATTTGCAACTCTGTTCTTTAACAGTAAGAAACTTGGCTTTCATTATCCTTAAAATATTTACTTATTTGATCAATTCCCCTGTGTGTAACCAATATCCCATTGCTGCCACCACTCTTTCTCCCAAGAAATTCCCTCCTCACCCCACTGAGGCTCTAACACACTGCACTGGGCTGCCAAACTTCCACATGGATGGCCTCCTCACCCCACCCATGCTCCATATCCTGCCCTGGGCCACTCTGCCATGTAAAAGCCATCTTCACCTTTCCAGGGCTCTGATACCCAGAACAAAGCTGTCCCCCTGCATGGGCACCCACAGATTCCAACCATGTGCCAACCACTTCCCCCACTTGTGTGGAAAAAAACAGTGGCCATCAAGTTGAGTCCAACTCATGGTGACCCCATGTGTGTCAGAGTAGAACTGTGATACATAGGGTTTTCAATGGCTGATTTTTCTAAAGTAGGTCACCAGGCCTTTCTTTTGAGGTGCCTCTGGGAAGACTCAAACCTCCAACCTTTTGGTTAGCAGTCGAGTATGTTAACTGTTTGCACCACCCAGTGACTCCTACTTGTGTGGACACCCTTCTTATTCTGCGCTGAGCTACCCCTCCACATGGACATCCTCTTTACTCTGGTCTCTGATGCCCTGCACTTGGCTGTCATGCTGTGCCAGCACTCTCTCACCCCTGCTATGTGAGTACCATCCTCACTCCTCACACCCTGCACCAGACTACTCTCCTATGTGAACACTCTCCTCATCCCACTCAGGCTCCAATGCCCTGTGCTGGTGCACCCCTCATATGGTACTCCTCATGTGGATACACTCTGTACGCAACTCTGGGCTGGAACACTCCTCCTCTGTTTTTAAAGCTTATGATAGTGTTGATTTACCACAAATTTTAGTAACTCCTTACCTTTGCTTATGTCATAGTGCAAACCTGGTATGTCCTTTCATCCCTTCACTGCCTAAAAAGTCTGAATTAATTCCTTCAGATTCTGTTCAAATGTCTTTAATTTTTATAGATTCTTCCAAGCTCTGCCATGTTGCCATAGTAGATTATTTATATTTCTTTAAAAAATAATTTTCATATTATATCACTGTTCATAAGCCTGTTTTCCTGGCCAGAATGTGTGAGAATATGTGTGTTCTATGCGTGATGAGAGTCAGACCAGTGTTATATTCATTCATGTATTCTCGTCAAGCATAGCACACATAGTACACGTGACATTTTATTATAAATATGTGTTGAATGTCAAAATCAATTCTAAGAATTAATTCTTTAATGTTTAATACAGTTATAATTAGTAGTTCATAGATGGTTATATACACAGCTCCTTCTAGAGTGGCACTGTCCAATATGGTAGTCACAAGTCATACATGGCTACTGAGTACTTGAAATAGGCCTAATCCAAATTATGATGTGCTGTAAGTGTAAAATAAACACTGAATTTCAAAGACTTTGTGTGAAAAAGTATTCAAAATATTTCATTAAAAACTTTTATATGGATTACATGTTGAAGTGATATTTTGAAAATACTGGGTTTAATATTAAAATGAATTCTACCTATTTTTTACTTTCCCACTAGAAAAATTTAAATTACATAATGTGGCTACCAGAAAAATTTAAATTACATAATGCAGCTACTAGAAAATTTTAAATTATGTTACATATGTTTACATTATATTTCTACTGGACAGTACTGTTCTAGAAATTTGAGTTAGTGATGAGGAACCGAAAGGTCAAAAGATTGACAGCTAGACATATGGCCTCCTTAGAGCAAAGACAGTTGATAAAAATCCTTGTATAGTTCTAAAACTTTGCTAGTTAGAGAGACCATTCAAATGAATATCAGAAGACAGGAAGGAATGTGGGCATCTAAGAATAAGAATATATTGCTTTAGTAAACTAATTATGTCTTTTTAAGACATCTCCATGTAACTTTACTCTCTAATACTGATCTAAAATTGTATATGCCTGCACAGAGGTGGTCAAAAAGCTATACTCTTTCAACTTGTTTCCTCTATGGATAATTTGTCTGCTTTCTTTTTTACTTAATTTGGATCCTTTGGCCTGAAGAAAAAACTCCAAAATTACAACCCCCTCTCCGCCTTTTTTATTTCCTTGTCTCAACACCATCCTCTAGTTACCTTCTCTTTTCTCAAATTTGAAGTGCTTCTGGATTAAGAGAAATAAGCATTTAGTCAATTTTGTTATTACTAACCTGCATTTCATATTTCAGAGTCATGTGGAAGCACCAGGATCCCATTCCTACCACTGAAATTAAAACAAACAAATAAAAAAAAAAAAAAAAACAATTAGCATGAAATTTTTGGGGGGTGGCCACGGTGACTTGAAAAGACAATAAGATATTTCAAAGCATTGAGATTCAGGGAGAATAATGTTTATAAAATCTTGTTAGTATCTGTCTCTTTGATTATAGCCATCCTAGTGGATGCGAAAGGAGCCCTGGTGGCGCAATGGTTAAGCGCTTAGCTGCTAACTGAAAGGTTGGCAGTATGACTCCACCAATGGCTCCATGGAAGAAACGACCTGGTGATGTCCTCCCATAAGGACTACACCCTAGCAAACTCTATGGGGCAGTTTTACTGTATCATATAGTGTTGCTATGAATCAGAATCGACTTGACTGAATACAACAACAACAAACAAAGTGGATGTAAGGTGGTATTTCACTGTGGTTTTGATTTGTATTTCCCTAATGACTACCCCATTCCCTTTTCAACAATATTTACTGAGCACTTAACAATGTTCCAAGCATTTCTACTTGGATATAGGAGTGAACAAGAGAAATACGTCTTTTGTCCTCAGAACTTCAAACAAGTCATTAAAAATACGAAAGAAGTTAGAGAGCTATGGTAATCCAGGCAAACTGGTCAGAAAGGCCTGTCTGGGGAAGTAACACTTACGCTGGGACTTGAATAATAAATTGGAGTTAACCAGTTGAAAGGATAAAAAAAGAAAAGAGAGATCATTTTATGTAGAAGATCATCCAGAGTAAAGGAAAGGTAGCGCATTCAAATAAGTAAAAGAGCTTGGCTTAGACAATGGACAATGTTGGAGTAGAGATCAGTGATGAGGCTTGAACGGCCTGTAGGAGCTAGATTGAAAAGAGTTTTTAAAGCCATGTTAAAGCTTGGTTCAGATTTGGACTTTACTGTAAGGACAAAGGAAAGTTGTTGAAAACACACACACACACACAAATACATATACACATACAGAAATAAACATGATCACTTTTTCACATTTAAAAATATCACACTGGTTACAAGGTGAAAAAAAATTCCTAAAGGAGTGGTCTCCCAACTTTGATGACAAAAAAAATTTTGAGTAACCCCATATACGTTATGTTTATTTATGAACTGTACATATGCTGATATATACTAAGGTACTACATATATTTTTAAGCACATAAAACAGAAGTTTAGAAAAATGAGGTAAGGAAGTAACAAATACAAACAGAACTTACAAAATTTTCTTCCTGTATCCCAATAGATAATTTTTCTCACCCCCTGGGTGTGAGCACCCTAACTGGTGACTGCTGGTTTAAAGGATAAAGACAAAATTACTTGCAAGGTATACATGGAACTTCATGATCTGGCTCCACTCATTTCTTCCACTGCAATCTATAGTTCCAGTACACCTGACTGCTTACTGTCCCTGATCTCATACTATAAACTTGCTTTGGCTTTGCTCATTCTCTGCTCACCCCGTCATTTCAGCCTGGAATACTTATCCCGCCTCATTATCCCATCCTATCCGCCCTCAAAACTATGTCTGCTTATTGAAATTCTATGCAACTTCTAAATCCATTTGATTTTTTGCTCTTTATCCTTTTAAAATTTGTTTATTTTGAAATAATTTAAAACTTACAGAAAAGTTGAAAGAATAACAGTGACTTTCTGAACCATTTGTGAGTAGGTAGCATATATTATGTCCCTTTACCCCTTAATACTTCAGTGTGTATTCCAGATCTATTTTATATGTCACTTCCTAAGTGAAATCTTCCTCAGCTTCCTCCCCAGTTAACTCCACCACATGAGGCATCCAAGAAATAATGTTTGGCTAGGACAGAAGTTATCAACTTTTGGAGTGTGTTGTATTGTCTACAGAGCTTTATAAATTCTAGAGTCTCAGTTCAGAAACTTCTGGTTCAGTGTTCAGTGTATTCCCTGGTACCTGCATTTTAAAGGTCTGTCAATGCTTCTGCTGCCCATCAAAACCCAATGATCATTGTTAGATTCTAAGCTTCATAAAGGCATGGTCCAGGTCTCATAGTTCACTAAAGAATCTCCATAACCTGGCACACAGACTTCCGGGCAACATGGCGCTGTAGTCAGAAGCACCACGCTGCCCATCCACAGCAAAGATCTGAGAAACTAAGTCAAACGGAGTCACACGTCAATCCTGAAACCCTAAGCATCAAATGAAGAGATAAAGAACTCAGCTAGCACTGAATGGAGTAAGAAACTGACCAAGAACAGACAGCGAGGAGAGATACATGCAGAGGTCCCCTATAAGCTACCACAGCATGGATCTGCCATCTTGGACTCCTATCAGAGATGAGCAAACAGGGGGTAAGAGAAAGCAGCTTCACGGACCTTCCAGCAGGATACAGAACAACTGGCAACCAGCGATATACACTTTCCATCCCCCACCCTTCTTCTCCCCCACTCAGCCTCCTCTGCTTCCTACGGCCACAGTCTCTTGGCCAGGAAGCACCGGCTTCACCCCAGTGTCACTCAGATTCCACCTGCCCGCAGTGGCTGGCTTCCTGAGAGCCATCTGTTGGCTGCTGGTGTTGCTTTTTTCTACTTCATTAGATTTCTTCCTTACCTCTCATCATCTCCTCCTCCTTTCTCTCAAATACCTGGCTCCGTGTGCCATCTTTGCTTCCTGAAAGGCTGTGAAACATCACTCAACTGTGAAACTGCTTCCTGGCCTGTGCCGCCATGCTGATGGAACCCCCAGGGCTTTTTTTGTTTGTTCTGATTTGTTCTATTTTGATTTGTTTATTTGTTTGTTTTCTTTTTCTTTTCTCGGCTTGGAAGCCCCTTCTAGCCAGGCAGTACTGTGCGGCTTGGGAGCTACCCCCTTACTCTGCGCAGACACACAGTGACATCCCTGGGGGCATTTCTTTTTTCTTGTTTTGGTTTTTGGTTTTTTTGTTTCTTTGTTTTGTTTTCTTCTCTCTCTTATTCCCTTTTTGTCTTTCTTCATTTCCAGTTTCTTGATTTATCCATTTTTTTGTTTTATCCTTTTTTTTTTTATTTTTGTTTTTCTCCATTTCTCAGTCTCTCATCTCTCCACTCCAACAGCAAGCTCCCTTAGCACTCTTTTTTTGTTTGTGTGTATGTTTTTGGCTCCTGTTCCTCTCTCTTCTCTCTCCTCTTTCCCATATCCATCTTAGCTCCCCACATCACAACCTCCCCCCTCCTTCCTGCCTACCGGCACCATGCGCTGAACATCACACCCCCAAGCAGCACAGGCATGGCCTACCGGAGCGTGCCCTGCACTGATTCCTGGTCTGCCCTGTCGGCCCTAGTACATGCCACAAACAACCCATCCCAGCAACTCCCCTTCAGCTGGACCTGGCCTGCTGTACCATACCTGAGTGACGGATCCTGCCCACTGGAGAAGGAAGTGAAAAGTATCGTGCCCACAGACGAACAAACAACAAAGAATGCACAACCCACCTGCTCAGACATAACCAAATAAAACAAAAAAGCAGGACAAAACAAACAAATCTACAGTCAAAACCTAGCACAATGCCAGGCACATAAATAACGCTTATGTACTTGCTGATGGACTGATTATTTTTCCTCCTCAATGATCCAGCATTTCACATTAAAGTGGGTGAAAGAGAGAGTGTGTGTGTATATTTATAAAGTAGGGGCTGGTGACGAATGTTCCTGAATTGAGAAAATAAATAAAATAGGAGAGATGAGTTTTGAAGAGGACAAAATGTTATCTGAGTGGAAAATGGGCAATAAGAACAGAAAGGCTTGCTGGAGAAGGTGACATTTAAGAGAGAACTCGAAGAGATTCTAGGGTGGAGACAGTGAGGGAGAACATACAGTATGAGTAAAGGTATGAAGATGTGGAAAATGTTTAGGGACAAGCATGTCATTCAATTTGGCTGGAGTGTAAGAGAGGAATACAAAATAAGGCAGGGGGTGAGCTGAGTGCATATACAGAGCTTTTAAAATTTTGCATCTAATAATACCAGTGCCAAGCATGGTACCTTATATACTGTAAACATTTCAAAAGTCCTACAAGGTAGACATTATTATTCCCATTTTGTATAGGAAGAAAGCAGAGTTCAGAAAGGTTAAGAAAATGGCCACGGTCACATAGCTAGTAAGTGGCAGAGCTGAGATTAGAAGCAAAGTCTGTCTGGCCCTAAAGCCTTTCCTTATATCATATCTACCCTTGGAGGCAATGGAAAGAAATTTTAGAATTTTGATAATGCTGGAGGGGGAGGGGTGTCCAAAAGAATAGAACCTTCATATACAGAGGAGAAATAATAAGACTAAGCTCAGATTATTCGGCAGAAACCATGCAGGCAAGAAGGCAATGGGATGACATATATAAAACATTGAAAGAAAAAACTGCCAGCCAAGAATAATATATCCTGCAAAACTCTCGTTCAAATATGATGGTGAAATTAGGACATTTCCAGATAAACAGAAATTAAGGGAATATGTAAAAACCAAACCAAACTTACAAGAATTATTAAAGGGAGTTCTTCGATCTGAGGACCAACAACTTCAGCTCACAGGCAGAATCTAGGACGCAGGATTGTACCAGCCAGATACCAATCTAGGAAATGAACTCTCGAGGACTATCCAAAACCAAAAGAAATACAACAGGGAATCAGAGCAGTTAATCTGTAAATGACAACAACATCAGAACAATAAAAGAGGGAATAAACGGTGTAGGTATAGAACCTTCTAATGGAGAGGAAGGCAAAGTGATACCAAGTAATAATGGACTGCTTCAAACTTAGCAAGATAAGGGTAAATTTCATGGTAACCACAAAGAAAGTTAACAAACATACTCATAAAAATAAAAAGGAAAAACATACAGTCTCAGCAAAAGAATAGAACCTTTACTTAGGAAAAGAATCTACATTGTCCCATGTAACCTGTGAGGTTAGTAAGAAATCCAGGTAAGAAAAACCAAGGTCTCAATTAGAGTGACAACAATAAAAATGGAAAGAGGCAGATTCCAGGATCACAAAGACAGAACTTGAAG